CAAGTATCGTGGGTAGTATTTTTCAGGTTCAAACGAAGGAGCGATACGGTTCAGCCATCGGCGACAAAAGGCGAGGGGTAGGTAATCGTAGTCGAAATGTTTCTATTCGGCGAGCGCCGCAGACGCGGCTTGCGTATTCCCGCCTCCTAAAAGCTGTATTTTGGCATTGACCATCTTGTCGCCTGTGATCAGCTGAGACACAAGGATAAAAAGTGCGTCTAGGGAAGACACTCTCGGGAGCATTAGACACGTCAGCGTCCAAAATGACCTAATAACAGCGACCGAATTCAGATCAGGACTGCAGTAGGGTAGCGGCGATGTACGAATATTCGTCTGCTTGATGAGGTGAGGTGGACGTGAATAGGGAATGTGGTGCACAGGTCGCGGAACAGCCGGTGCAATGAGCGGTAGTGTACGAAGTATTCGTACGCCAGTTTCGTACGGATAGTTAATTAGTTGCTCGATTCGCAGCCTGTCAGGGATGTGTTAACATAACATCCAAGACATGGACCCAACTGCATGCTGCAGTGCTGCACAGAATTAGATGGGAAGTCGGTACCTGAGACTCTGGATACAGCCTAGTGTCTGTATCCAATCTACTTTTTATGCAATGCATCTTAGCTAGAGCGACCCACATTGCAAGGCACCCTACAGGTGAAGTGCAGCTCACTGTGAAAGAAACAACGGGTCATCTGAGTGGTCTGTGACTCTTGCGATAGTACGACTTCGCTTACTGCTGGGATCGCTGGCTTCTGGGTCGGCTGGTCGTCTGCTGATTCTTTGTGTCCGAACTGGATACCGTGTGGTTGATGTAGCCGAGAAGCGCAAGCGCAATGTCCGCAGCTTGTACTTGGATAGCGAGGGGGGTCTGGGTCTTGTGCGAATGCGTAATACTGGAGGATCAAATTATTTTGTCAAATAATACGTGATTGTATCGAGCCGCAGTGTTCCCCAAAAGAGACAAGACTGCCGAATATTTGATCGTGGTTCATGATTGTCTCCATTGATCGAGCGCAAAGTTATTAGACAGTCAGGGAAATCATGATTCCTGTAGCATGTTAGCGTTGATACAGCACCAAGCAAAGGTACGGAGGCCGACCGACCTCCCCATGCGTGTAATTGAGATGGCGTAGGTAAGTGTAAGTTGCGGTTGCGAATAGATGATTTGAGGGCGACTTGGGCAAATCCCGTTGTGCTTTGCCGTTTAGATGCAAGGTTGGCTGCGCAGGGCATGAGAGAAACAGAAGTAGACCAAAGGCGTCAAGCATCTAGGCGTTAAGCGTCGTGGTTGCATGTCGCCAAGAAAGGTTGAAGGAGGAGAAGCCTTGGGAAGGAGGGTGCGCAGCCGGTGCGGCGGCTCCTACTCCACTTTCTGATGCGGGAGGGGCGGTACGTACCGTAGTTTGATTGACCAATGAAAACCCCAGTCTGCCGCAGCTTCTCATCTGGAAACAGTTCCGACAGGGGTTAAATGAGTTAATGAAGGTGCCACTGTGCTTCTCTTCTTTCCAATGTCACTCAGATGGCAGGTGCCGATACGCCTTTTCCTGCTCCGGCAGCCAATCTTTTGCCCAGGAGGCAATTGTTGCCTTTTATCCCTTTTGTTTGAACAGGATACTTTCATCAGGAGAGATGCTTTTGGGGAGAAACCGACTGTATGTATCTGTACTGTTGTATAAGTCTTCTCAGGTGATAACAAAAATGGTAAGGCAGGATGGATACCTAGCAGAGGTATGATGTTGCATCAAAAGACGAGGCAATAGAATGAATGGCGCGATAGGGAATATTGTCAAAGTCAAAATCTTGAGCGAGGTGCCCGTGCGCCGTTCAAGGCGGAAAGGAAACGCCCCATAATATTATCCGCACCTTTGTTTGGCCTTTTGCGTTGCCTGTCTACTGCGTGAGGTAACACCTTATATCCAGGCATAACTACCTTATTTTCCCAAGAAGAGTTGAAAGTGAAAAGTGAGGCGGAAAGTATCAGTCTACCTAACGCTGCACCTGTCTGACCATTCGGTGTGGAAGGATTGGGATGCCAAGAGAGCACAACAACATAGATCCGTGACCCGTCCCTTCAGGTTTATCATAATGTGTAAGTAGATGATGATGGCGAAAAGGTTGACGGGTTCCGTAACGCAAGTGTCATAAGTTCAGGTAGGGACCCCAAATCTACAACTCTAGATGCCTTAAGCTACCGCACTAAACCCTGCTTCTTCTGCTTACTCGATCGGGATCTGGGTGTCTTAGTCTTGGGTTGCCCATGCACGCAGGCCGCAGGCGGCAGCACACACAAATACCAGGGCATGTCCAACAACAGGCCAGCATGCCATATGAGGCTTGACCAGTAAGTAAGGCATGTATGGTATCGATCGCATCGCGCATCCGCATTGTATGGAGCCGGCGGAGGAAAAGCGGACAAGACATTTTTCTCGGACTACGGACACGGTATACTGACATTTCTTTCTTCCCACCGGGTGCAGCACTCATCGGGCATGCTCCTTCTCCTAGATGGATAGAAGCATGCCTGCAATAGATGGAGATGACACCCTCACTGCGACTGGACAAATGTTGTTACGCATATCTCAAAGCCAAGCCACTTTTGCTTCTCAAACCCCTCCTTTACACAGCAGTCGAGTGGCGGTCCGGGATGCACGGCTCAATGGTGTGGTTGAGAACCACAGGACGAGACGGGATGAGACGGACGACGGGGAGTCTAAGTCGTTAAACTATTTTGCCAACGCTGCTGTTCGGATTCGGTCCTGAGCGGGCACGATTGGCAAACCCCGAAGAGAGTAAATTGAGGAGGGCAAAATCCTCAACCGCCTGTCTTTTCAAACTCTTAGACTCTGGAGTTGTAGAGTCAAGAATCGATTTATCCACAAATGGAGGAAGTCCGTCACAAGGTAGGTAGGTAGGTAGGTAGCTGCAATAGGTACCCGACCAGATGGGCGGACATGGAGGGAAGGGACCGTTGGATGATCACGAATTGTGCCTGCTGCAATGCCAAACGGTACATGATTTCAAATATTGCCGGCAAGAACTCATGTTGAGGTGGACTTTGGAGGAAAGGGCTTGCCCACCTCAGTTGGCACCTGCGCCGGGGTGTTTCTTGCCTTCCGCTTGTCGTGCTTGTCTCCCCTTGGGCCCTTCCTTCCCCCAACCCACATCTGCACGCACGTCTGGTTCCAGAATCCACTTGTCCTTGGGCCATTTCCATTCGTCTGCGGGATCCAATTTTTTGTACGTACCTGACTGTAGTGGACGGAGTAAGGTAAGGTACCTTACGGAGTACCTACGTTCCACTTGTCTAGGTAGGACCCCAAGGGGGAAGAAATAAAATAACACCAAGTTTGTGCCCCACCTCTGTTGGATGCACCAACAACCATGAACCATCAATTGTCAATCGTCAACCATCAACTATTAATTCTCGTGCCTCTCACAGCTAATTGCTGTCTGCAGACAGTCACCTGCCAGCCATCTTTGTATGGATACTCGATTGCGCCTGCACCTGCACCTGGACATGATTTCCATCGCGCCACCTTCGACACATCGGATCAGCCCGACTAGCAACATTGTGATTGGTGCATCAGAGAGTCACTGGACCTGACTTCGACGCATCCGATCAACGACTCCCCCGTGTCTCGACTCTCTTACTGCGGTAGGTTGTCCTTCTGGGCGCAAGGCAGGGGCAGAGGGGCTTGTTGAACACACCGAGAGACACTCGCACCAGAGACAGACGGAGAAGACGAACCACTGCCACGTCCCCATCCAATCGACCGCTGGCATTCCCAGTTTCCCGCACCTCTCCCAGACCTGAGACTGCCTCTTACGGACACCACACGGATCAACACTGGGTCTGGACTTCTTCTCTACCCGCGAGCCGTCCCCACCGATCCATCCTGTCTTCCCGCTGTGCCCTTCATCGCTGCATTCCCGGTACCTGACACACACACACACACACACACATACGGACACACAGCAGAGGTGCCCTCAGTGGCCTGCGCCGAATTCAGTACGACTTAGTGTCGATTGTGTATCTGCTCACCAGCCGATTCCACTCATCAATCTGTTTTCCGACCATTTCCCGGATACCTCACGGAATACCCATCATTCTCTCTACCAGCTCTTCAGCCCCGCGCTTCTCCGGCCTAACTCGACTTGGTTGTTGGAATATCGCCGTTCGGTATCTAGCACCTCAGCCACCTTGATTCGCAACCTTTTCAAGTTCAGAGTACGGAGCAATACCTTGGTCCCCTACGGCTACTGTGTACCATAATCGACCCGATCTAACTGCCTGCGGCTGTCGCTTTCACTCTATTCATGCTCCAAGTCGGGCCTACCACACTGCCTTGCGTTACGGGGAACCCTGGTTACCTGCTTGCTTAGGTTGTCTTTTCCTCTCTTTCGACCCCCTTCTGCCATTGTAACGGACCACGAGACTCACCCGGCCGATAAAAGTCCGATTCGGCTCACTTTCTTCTTCTTCTTTCAGAACTCGATGCAATACCACCGCCGCCGCCATACCAGTCTAGTCCAGCCCAATTCGGCCCAGTCTGCCTGGTGGCTCGTCTTCCAGTCTCTCTACAGTGTCTGCACGAATACCTACACCATTGTGATAAGCTCGACAAGCCCGACCCTCTCGGAGACGGGTTTGACCCAAGAAGGCGAGCAAGGGATAGACGACAAAGACAGCTTCTCGAGGCTGGCGAGACTGGCCCAAATCCTTCAGTCTTACAGATTTTGGATACTTTTCACCCTCTCCATCCAGAGTAGTGGTACTGCGTAAGTCATCCAGCGGCACTCCCGCCCCTTTTTGCGTTGTTCCCCCGGTCTTCGTACCGTACCTTGGCCGTGTTCTTGTCACGTACTCGGGACAAAGGACTGGGCCCTTGCTGTCATCTGCCGTGGCGGGTTCTTGTTCGTCTCGGTGTATGTGTACTCCGTACAGTCTCAATTTCCATTGGAAATCCCAGTTCATATCTCCAGCTTCTCTTAGATTAAGGTGTCGTTGTCTTGGGCGGCTCTGCCTCCGCTCTGGAGAATTTGGCATGCCCTTCAAGGCTTTCATGGTTCTGAAGGTGGTGCATTCTGGCGCCATCTTGACATTTGCTCCCTCCCGTCATGCTCTTGTCGTGCCCTCATTTCGTACGCTTTTCTGCCCGGGAAGTAATTACCGTCGGCGTTTTTTTTGTGGGCGAGCGCAGTGTGTGAATACTCATCAGCCATCATTGGCTGATGTGCCTACCTTTTCCTTCCTTTGACCGAGTCCAACTTTCCCCAGTGTATCTGACATGGCTTCTCTTGTCTTGAATTTGGTGGTAGCAGTAGTTGCACACATGTTTTCCATCTACTCTGCGAGTAACTATGCAGGCTGCGGCAACTTCATCTGACCTTGACGCAAGGACTTAGCTTCCGGTACTTCCAACTAGTACGCAGTAGGCCTCCCAGACGGGCAGCCAGCACTTGGTAGTGGTACCCTCCCTCTTTGCTTTGTACCTGCTTCAAGCTTGAGGGTCGACCGATTCACTGTCCCAGGCCCCCACCAGACGGACGGCGACCACTTTTCATTGTCCCTAGTAACCTGCACATACGAAATACCCCTGGCCACCTCAAGCCCCGAATCCCAGCTTGGTCCAGGTTCAGGCCCTAGGTTCCGTGGCGGCAGCAGCGCAGCGCATCGCAGCGCAGCAGAGAAGACGTGCAGCGGTATCCGTACGGACCTTCGGTAACAATTGCGGGAGCTGTATCCGTAGCGCGGGTGCGTGGATACTCTGTACGGATAGGGGAATCGACAAGTAGGCTGGACAAAACAGAGAGAGTGTGGATGAGATAGAGAAACAATCGCCTAAAGTCTACTCCGTAGAGAGGGAGAGCATCGGGGGAGGAAGAGAAAAAAGAGAGGCAAAAGAGGATGACCCACTTCACCTCGCTCTACTACGTACATACCTTAGGTAGAGTCCAAGGTACCTAGGTTCTCCGTACCATACGCAGTACCTACACGGCGACGGCCCCGGCCCTTGATCCTCCTCTTGTTCTCCTTCACCTCACCACTCACCAGTGTTTGCCCCCCTTCTCCCAGGCTCCTCACCCCCAAGTACCCCCCTCCGTCCAGTCACCAGTCCCTTCTCGTCTTGTTCCCCGTCCAGTCTTCTCCTCTTTTTTTTTCTCCCATCTCTTCCTCCGTCCACTGCCAGCCAGCCATCTCAATCCACTTAGCATTTTGTGGCATTGTGCTCCATACCCTGCCTCTCCTCTCCCGCACCCGCCCATCTTTCTCTCTCTCTCTCTCTCTCCTGTTCCTGTTCCTGCCTGTTCCTGCTCTTGCTGCTCCTGCTGCTCCTGCTCCGGCTCCTACCTCGCTCCTTGCTCCTGCCCTGCCCTGTCCACCCGACTACTGGGTTTTCTGCATAAGACCTCCCCCCCCCCAGTTGGCAGTGGCTCCCCCCAGCAGGTACCGCTAAACAGACCGACGAATCGCAGTCAAGGCAGGTACCTGCGCTTTCTCTCTAATAATTCAACCACCCCCCCAGGCCGACCATCATTTCCTTTCCACCCTGTTGTTTTACTGGTCCGCGCAAAGCAACCCCCCTGGAGCTTGCATTCCCCTTCCATCTGGAACTGGACAACCACCACACCTCTCTTTCCTCCCTCTCCACCGACTCCCGCTCAATTTCAATTCCAACCCTCAACCCTCATCCAACGACCGACGACCACCTCCCGATCCGACCTCCTCGCCCGCTTCCACCACCACCACCACCACCACCATCCCCATCATCGCCGTTTCTATCGCTGCCGCCTCTCTCCATCAGCTGCCGCCTCTTTCGCTCCGCCACCCCATTGATCGAGGCCGTAACGACAGTCCACGACGATGAACTCTCAAGGCCAAAACGATGTGTCGCCCGAGGCGATGCAGGCGCGCATCCAGCAGGCGCGACGCGAGGCTGAGACACTCAAGGACAGGATCAAGCGGAAGAAGGATGAGCTCGCCGATACTACTCGTGAGTTTTTCCATCGTCAATTCATTGTCGACTGCCATCGCCTCTCGCTCAATTGAATCCCTCGATCGGTCCTCGTCACGCTAACCACACATGTTCGATCAACAGTCCGCACCGTCGCCCAACAGGCCCACGAGCCGATCCCAAAGAACCAGCTGATGAAGGCTAAGCGCACGCTCAAGGGTCATTTGGCCAAGATTTACGCCATGCATTGGTCTACCGATAGGAGACATCTTGTCTCCGCCTCGCAGGATGGAAAGCTAATCATCTGGGATGCCTACACGACGAATAAGGTCCACGCCATTCCCCTCAGATCATCCTGGGTCATGACCTGTGCCTACGCCCCCAGTGGTAACTACGTCGCTTGCGGTGGTCTCGACAACATTTGCTCCATTTACAACCTCAACCAGCAGAGAGAGGGTCCCACCCGCGTCGCGAGGGAGTTGTCTGGCCATGCCGGTTATCTTTCATGCTGTCGCTTCATCAACGACCGCAGCATCCTCACCTCTTCAGGTGACATGACATGTATGAAGTGGGATATCGAGACGGGCCAAAAGGTTATCGAGTTTGCCGACCACTTGGGCGATGTCATGAGCATTAGTCTCAACCCAACCAACTCCAACACATTCATCTCGGGTGCCTGCGACGCTTTCGCCAAGCTGTGGGATATCCGTGCCGGAAAGGCCGTTCAGACATTTGCCGGCCACGAGTCAGACATCAACGCCATTCAATTCTTCCCCGACGGCCACTCCTTCGTCACCGGCTCCGATGACGCTACCTGCCGTCTCTTTGATATTCGTGCTGACCGCGAATTGAACCTTTACGGCGTAAGTGGGCTGGCGCGGCCTTTGAGCGAAATCATTGGACCCCCCGATTGCTAACTTGCTCTCTGATTCAGTCGGAATCCATTCTCTGCGGCATCACCTCCGTAGCGACCTCGGTCTCTGGGCGCTTGTTGTTCGCTGGCTACGATGACTTTGAATGCAAGGTATGTCGGATATCTCGAGAGCCTAATGGGGGTGAACTGATTACTAACCCTTCTTGTAGGTCTGGGATGTGACTCGCGGAGAAAAGGTCGGCTCTCTCGTCGGCCACGAGAACAGAGTTAGCTGCTTGGGCGTTAGCAACGACGGCATCAGCTTGTGCACAGGATCATGGGATTCACTTGTACGCAAATCCTTCCACCCAATATTCCCGGAATCCCCCATACTGACTAATGGTAACAGCTGAAAATCTGGGCATACTAAATCACCACCCCGACCCCGATAACGACGAAGTCCTGTCTGGATATACTGGTTCCAGTACGCGCGAAACCATTTTAATCTTCTGTCGACTGGTTATTTGGCCAACTTAATTTTCGAAACCCTGGTGCTGCCCTTTTCTAATCCGCGAGTACTGGCACACACAGGACGAAGTCACGACATACCTGCTCATACCAAAGCTCACTTTTCTCATCGTCTACCGCTCCAGCTGGAGCCGCCCTTTCGCCGGCATGGGCGGCTGTAGGAACTAAACAGGGTCCCCTTTTCTCTCTTGTCACGCCAGCCACCACCGATCATCCTCATCGTCAAAACGATTCTTTTGCACCATAGTTCTCTTTTTTTTTGGGCCTCATTCTAGCACCTGGTTGTTAGATTAGGCGTTTTGTAACACATGGGTGGGTTTTCCACATGTGGCCTTTCCCGAGTCATGTCTGCTTCACATCTCCTGCAACGTCTGCTACCGGATCCGGATACGACAGGACCGCCAGGGAGGGAACGGAATCGAGGCATTTTGATACCCCAACGAAATCCAACCCCTAAAACGCATAGACAAGCAAAGCATACGATTCCGACACCGACTAAACTCTCGCGGCTCGGGAGGGGAAAGTGCTGCAATTCGCAGCAAGGAGTTTTCTATACCATCGAAAAGAGTTTTCCCGCCGTCCGATAATTCCCTCGTCGCTTAGTTGTCCGTCGAAAAAAAAAACACGCGCCGCATCATTCGATCCCGCATTTCCTTATTTCCTCGATTCCACCCGTGGGCGTCGGTCCGGTAGACGAAAGCACCGCAAGTCGCCCCGCCATGTCGTCCGAGGCGACGCGAAGCCGAGGTATAGTAGAGACAAAAACGGATTGCCTCGTAGGAAGGCGGGAAGAAACAGGGCTAGTCGACCAGGAGGTCGGTTTGTTTTAGGCGGGCGAGTTGTCATTTCCGTATACAAAGGGGGAGGCGAGTTGGTGTCGTACGGCAACAGTGGTCGAACCCTAGTTTTCCCGGGAGGGTTGTGTTTGTTTGGATGGCACGGGGGAGGGTTTGGGTTGAAGCCCAACGGGAAATCAGGGTGCGACAGAGGCCACCTACAGAACGAAGACATGTGTGCATGGGCATGGGTGGAAGTGATGAGGATGTGTTTGTTCTTCCTTGCGTGGCTGCCTGCCTGAAGCCTTCCTTTCCTCCTATACCTACTTGTTGCCTGTACTATAGCTCGCGCTCAATGCTCGTTCATCCTCTGTTCAAGTGCCGATTGCTCTGGCAAGTGAGTTGTATGCATGTCTTGACTATGCTAACCAGAATCTGCCGCTGGATACATCCGCTGCTTCATACAATCTTAGTAGCCAAGTGGCTCTCTTAACAGCAACGGACGAGGTTCACAAACGACAGCAAGATGGCCAAATCGCAACTGCGATTTCGACGCACCTGATTATGTATCACTGACTGCAGGAATGGACGAAGATTTCGACATGTTCGGCTTCACCCAAAGAGCCACTACGAGATGTTCACGACAGTCGATCCATGGCCGCGCGGCATACGGAATAGAAACCTTGACCTTGATCACGGCCACATGGGCAAACGAAGCACGAATGACGGGGGAGACGTTGGCTGGAGATGTTAGCTTTCCTCGTGGAAACATGGGACGGATTCCGATCCAGTTGCTCGGAAGTTCCGGCGTCAAACGCTCGCCCGCCTGGAAAATGACGTTGTGGGAGGGCAATGTGCCGAGAGCTGGGGCTTTGGAAATTTGTCAGGCGGCGAAGAGAGGAAGAGACAGGAAAAGGGGGATGCGACTAGGGGTCATGGAGCAGCGCACATCCGACGTGGTCAGTCTGTCATGAAAGAGGGCGAGAAAGGGAAGGCCTCGAGAGAAAGCCGTCCAGATCAACAAAGTCGGTGTTGAGTCGTGTCTCTGGGAAAACGAACTAACACGGCAAGAGGAAGGCCGAATGCTTGCCGTGCGGTTCTCGTCGGAGTATCTGGAGAGAGGAAGCCGGCGGCGTGCCCCATGGAAGCGGCGAGAAGTGGAGAACGGGACACCAGAAATCCCGGCGACACTCGGCTCCGGCGTGGTGGGGCCATCCCGGAGGCTGACGAAGCACTGAAAGACGCTCTTTGCGCAGTAGAGAAGTAAGAAAGACTGCATGTGGGAGCTGCAAGGCCGCATAATCCGGTACCATTACTGAACCTTTCCCCTCCCGACACAATGTTTTTGAGTTATCAGGATGGAGGGGGAGGACAGAAGGAGGGCGGACGGGCCATGGCGTGAGGTTCGTCTGTTGATGGCCATCCCCGACCCCATTCCGTTGCCACGTGAAGCCACTTTGGCCACGTGAAGAACAGGCCACTCGGAGTTTGGCCCTGCCGTTTGCCGTACTGCCGTACAGTTGGATAAGCAAATCCCTCGCTGGTTTTGCTCTCCTGGGGGTTTTGCCTAACTTTTCAGTTGGCGAATGGGGTGAAAAGATGCAAGAGGCTCTCAGTTGAGACGACAGGATTGCCCGAGTCAGCATCCCGCGTTGAGTTCTTTCTTACCTCATTACACGTGAGCGGAAGTTCTTGCCGAGTGGTATTAGGAAATGTGGCGGCCCGCCAGGTGGTGGAGGAGGATGGGAACCATTGTTGGGTCCCCTTGTTCTTGCGGGGGAAGGAAAGGCTACGAGCTGCCTTCTATGCATTCTATGCATGGGGCGTTCATAGCAAGAGCTTCGAGAAGCTCTTTCGATGGGCTTTGGAAAAATTTTGGAAATGAGATCGCTCTCAGCACAGACAATGAGGATCGCAGGAGAAACGCCCAGTCTGAAGAAGTATCCGCGGTGGGAAATGTACCACCGCGATGGGTTGCATATGTCCGGCCGTGGGCGTTGAAGATCGTTTTGGCTACAATCTGACGCGGCTCCCGGCTACTGCAAAAGGAGTTAGCAAAAGAGCAGCTAGGGACGGGCCCGGGGAAGGAAGGAAGAGAAACGGCGAGGAAAATGGATTTGGTGGCTGGAGCCCTATGTTTGAGTTATACTTGGAAAGCTTGATGCGCTTGTGGATGCAGAGATCCTGGTGGCCACGAGGTATGGGCAGATGGAGTACTTCGATGCCTACTGCGTATTGAGTGGTTACCGTCAAAACGCACTGGTGTTTTGAATGATACCTTTCTGTGCCTCGGTCAATCTTCATTTGACCCGGTGGGATGCATACTGCATGAGTGGAGAAGGAGGAGGCAACGATTTTGACAGAACTTTACGAGTCGCCGGCAAAGCCTGATACAGTCAACGCTCATCCCTCGAGTCTCCCGCATTTCTTGCGATCGGAGTATATGCAGATGTCAGGTCACTGTGATCGGATAATGACTAGAGCATGTGTAGCGGCATAGTGCCGGCAGCGTGCAGCTGGCGGCGTGTCGAGGCGCAGAATCCAAGTTTGAAGTCTGAGGGTCGACGAGGAAAAACATGAATAAACGTGCCGGCTGCGAGACGCTTCGCTTGGTGTATAGACAACACGAGTATTATACGACTCGCTGTGCGAACTTCCAGCTTCGATGCTGCACTGCCAATTATGTTGGTCTGTGACAGCGAACACAGATGGACGAGACCAGACCTGGACAAGGAACCTCCTTGGCTTCAAGTTCCGGATGTTTGCTCCGTTGAACGCAGGTCTATCCTGTGAAACAAAGGCATGAAACCCGCGGGTATATCCAGAACGAATATGCATCTCGTTGCAATGTACATATCCCCTGTCAAGTCTTGTGACGAGTGAAATCGCTTTCGGGGATTGTTTTGAATAGATTTCCGCTAGGATCTACTATCAACGGTGAATGGTACGCTAGAAAGTTTGACTTGCGGAGTGAGCTGCCGTCACTGAGTCGTGGTCCGAGGTGATTGATTGGAGTCTTGGTCCCTTGGAGATGGAATCGGATCAGTCAGCAACGCACGAGCAGCGATGGGAGCCGTGGTTCTGGGTCGACCACGCGCGACATCGTGTCCACAAAATGTCTGTCGTGAGGCATGAAACGGCGTATCCGGGGCGGAGAAGGTGACTCATGTTTGAACACATCGTGAGGGCCTCTTCATGCGAATTTGGAAAGCCATGCAATGCGTGGCATGAAGACCCATAGTTGTTACTTGAGACTGAACTTGGCCAGCTGCGGATTAGTCAACGATCATGACAACTTAAGTTAGCATGTCGTTGGTAAAAGTAGCGCTGTGAACCGAGCATCCTAGAAGCATCGCAAAGTATACTGGGGACACCGTCCATGACCATAAACGACCATGGATGATGGCTAGTCCATACGCTCAAGTCGAGATGAATCGGCCAATGTGCCGATCCGAGAACAGAGAGAGATCTGTCATTGTAAAGTCGATAATGTGCAGTGGACACAAAAGTCCGCTCGTCTCAAGCCTCCGTCCGCATTGACTGGGGAGCACCGACAAGTGCGGTCACACGACGCCGTGGCCAAGTCTCGACCAAAGATCTAAGCAGACCAGGGAACGAATGCAAACGGGGACTTTCGGACGATCAACCTGGGCAAAATATGACGATAAGCGCATGTCATTGTTAGAGATCTCTGGAGCTGATGGTGAGACTGCTGTGCCCCGTTTCGGGGTCCTTCTGTTTTGGCAAACGTGATGATGAAGGGTGAACAATGTCATCGCACGGTAGGATGATGGCGTCGTGATCTATTACTGGGTCAGCAAAGCATTTTCCTCGGCGAAGTGGTTTCTGACCGTCTCAGGCAGTCCACGTTTGCTTCAAGAGCCAGAAGAAGATGTGCGTATATCATTACCCTCCCAAGGGGAGGTTGTTGAGGATCATTGTGCAGCTGTCAGCCAATCAACGAAGTGGCCCAATCTGGTAATATAGTCTGCTGGGACTATCCGCGTATCTCTCTCTCAGCGACGCGCCGCGAATTGCCATTGTCTCTTGGACGCAGTGAGCCTGGACTGAGTCTTTGAACGGCGGGTTCGCGGTTCGGCTGGGCCGACGACGGATAGAGTCGGTGTCTTGGAGCCGCGGTAAAGAAGTTGGGCGTGAGACATTGTGTCTGGAATTTGAGGACGCACTTGATGCGAGACACCCGCGAATAGGCACCAGAGCAAGGAATGTCGCTGCCCTGCGGTATCAATCTCCTTCTCTACCACAAATAATTGCCAGTTGCAGCACCATCTCCGATGCAGGGTCCTCCCGCACTGGCCTGGTAAGGCGCAACGACTCATACTAGCCGAAATGAGACATAACGTCTGCAGGAGAGTTAGAAATGCGAGCACAGGCGTAGTTGCAAATTGAAGCGCCTTGAATAAGGTGGAGAGAGGAAAGCGAAAGAGACTGTTCCGAGGACCCTGAAGATGCGGAAGTTGGTGGCCAATGGTTCTACGCAGTTGGTTAGGTGAGGTAACCTTTTGGAGGACTTGTAAAATGATTTGCGAGGTGTTACGAGGTCCTCGCCAACTCGAGAGCACTGGAGGAAAGTCAATTTCGAAGCGTCGTCCCAATCACGGTTGGCACGTAGTGTGCGGTGAGCCAAATTTGGGCCAACCAGTCAACCCACAGACGGCCCAACACGAGACATACGAGAAATGATAGCCGTGTTTGTTTCCTCATCACGATCGCCAACTTTGAAAAGTCTTGGCGTAGCTTCGGCGCCTTTCCTAAGTTCCTCGTGGCCGGCCCGTCCAATGCTCGAGAGTCGGGGCAGAAGGTCAACTGCGTGATGTCTTGCGTGATGTCTCCAACGGGCCGACGGGGGACGGGGGGAATTCACAGCAATAACAAATAAAGAAAGAATATAGTAGAAGGCGGCTCAGCCAACTCATCGATGTGCAGCGTGCATCCTATCTGCAAGGTCCCGAATTGCCCCCCACCTCTAGCAGTGGTTTGCATTGATTGGACAAACGTGGAGTGACGACGTTGCCAAAAGGAGAGAAAATGGGCAGAGATGGGTCGAATGATGCTGACAAGCACCATGATCCCAGCAAAGCCACGCGGGCAGAGGAAAAGCAAGATGGTGTGGTGCTGCGCTGGAGAATGGATATTGTGGTTCTTGACCCTTTCTCTCTGCTCCGTAATAATTTTGTGTACTCCGTAGGTAGTCTGATCGATCCGGCCCCTTTTCGACCAAGCTCTTGCCATCATCGCAAGGTAATGGGTCCGTACCTTGGGTTAAGGTAAGTAAGACAGCCTGTACCACGGTAAGTTTGAGACGGCGGAACTTTGGAAGGATTTGTTATTTCTTATTTTGGGCTGCAGCTTACTGAAGGTTTGCGCGTTGACCGTTGGTTTGTGAAAAGGGAAATGGAGGTAATTTGCCCAACTTTCCATGCTATACTACCCTAACTTTATTCTACATTGGAAGGAATATGCACACGCCAGACAGACAGGAAGAGTCGCAGCTGCATTCGCATTTGGTTCACGCACTTGCATTTGCTTTTCAATTACCTTAGGTTACATTCGAAAGGTGGTTCTCTTTCACAGCCGCCTCCCTTCTTTCCTTGCCCTGCACAGGTAAGTGGTGACTGACTGGCACCTTCCTCCATACAATTTACTGCGAATGTAGCAATGTACACATGTTCTCCACTTATTCCTTTCTGCCCCCTTCCCTCCACGTCGCCGGTATCCTCATGCGTGACGACACCATCGTGGCTGGCCTCTCTGTTCCGTCATCTGCACGTCCCAGTTCGGCATTCGTCTCCTTGCAAAAGTTGACTCGCCCACAATCATCGACATCGGGGACGGGGGTGGGCAGCTCAATCAAGCACAAGTTACAGGGCTGGAAAGAAATTGTCCGGTCTTGCCGTGCCAGCGTTCCAGCGTCTTTGCGCCCGCAAACGATCATCAACTCCCACATCCTCGTCTTAACATCGCGGACTACATACCTCTTACCGCAACCAGATCTCACCTGGACCCGTCAGTAGCCCCCTATACCCCCGAACAAGTTAACAACCTACGAATGCCAGTAGCCACAGGCCTCACCTTCTGCCATTCATCCACACTTTGCCGTCCAGTCTCCCCTGTTCGCAACCACGCGCCTCCGCCGCTTCTGAAACAGCCTGACGCACCCCAGGGGCTTCCACCTCGACCCTCGATCCTCGACCCTCGAGCCCCCCTTTTGCCCTTTTGCGCACTTCTCGCACCACTCACGCATCGCGCCAGTCTGTTGACTCTTGACTATCCACTGCACCACCGGGGCCCGGCTTTCACCGCATCGTGGTCCACACAAGGGTTGACCCCTGGCTTCGACCCCACTGCTTCGAGAAATTCCATCGAAGGGCCTCCATCCTTTCGATCCAACTCCCGGTCATCTCTGCTTCGCCTCCCACCGTCCGCCCGTCCTCTCCTCTCCAGACTCTCCCACCACCAATTGCGCTACCCATCCTGTCCTTGTCCGAACAAGTCACTTTGCTTGCCCGAATAGACGCCCTGACAGAACAACCGGGCACACCCTTCCAAGCTCAACGTCGCACGATTGCCAACTCTTCACTAACCTGCTTGTTTACTCCTTCTTAACAACACCCCGGAGAGCAACCTCTTCCTCTGACCACACGCCCACCCGCTCCTCCGCTCCTTGTCCTATACATAAACCAAGCTCCCCTCCCCGGCCGCGCCACACGACCTTCAAGATGTCGAACCCTACGCCAGCCCAGGAAGAATTCAACGCTCTGCTAGCAGCAAACTCCCGTGACACCAGCAACGTACATCCCGAAGACCGAGACCACGACCGTCGCGAACAAGACAGCCTTGACCTCGACGAGGAAGAGAGATATCGCAACTCCCAAATCGACGCCGCCATGCGTATGCCATCTCTTGGTCAGACCGGCTCCGACCTGAAGCTGCCTCCGGCTAGCTTCGATGCCGGTCGAACCACCGGTGTCAAGGGCGTCATCGCCGATGCTCGCAACTACGAGAACGCTCGTAAGACTTCGTTCATGAGCCGCGCGCGCACCACAGTAAGGCGCTCCATCTTCGGCCTCGACAACATCAACTCCCAGCCGCCACCGTCAAACAAGAGCGAAAGCGAGACCGACGAGGGCAACGGCAGCGACTCTGATGACAGCTTCATGCAGCAATGGCGCGAGAGCCGCCGAAGAGAACTCGAGAGCGACTCGAACAAGGTCATCCGGAACCGGAGAACAAGTCCTAGTGTGCGAATTTACGGACGTCTGGATGAGGTGGATGCCTTGGGCTACCTCGATGCCATTGAGAAGGTTGCGCGGGACACTTTTGTTGTCGTCTTCGTCTATGACCCAGAGGTGAGCTCTACTGAGACTGTTGTTCCCAGGTTTTGGGTACTAACGAGACCTCTAGTGTGACGTTTCTGCAACAATAGAGCATGCCATGATGCCTCTTGTGTCGCAGCACTCAACAATACACTTTGTCAAGGTACACTATCTTGACATTGAGTTCGACAACGCCGCCGTGCCTGCCATTTTGGCGTATCGCAATCAGGGTGACATGATCGCCAACCTCACAGGCATCATTGAAATGATCCCCGATGACGAGATGTTTGGTACCGACACGCTGGCACGGCTTTTCCAGAAGCACGACATCCTATGATACAAACGGTCACAAAACGCACTCAACAAAGGCAAAAAACAAAAAAAAAAACATCCTCTTCTCCTCTGTTACGATACCCCCATTTTGCAGCGCGTTCTCTTCCGCGAGCATAACGGTTCCCTTTTGTTTTTTCACGCCATTTCCATTGCGCATTCGGTTCTCCTCTTTACCTGGACATTTGGTTTGTGGAGCGGAGTTTTCTCTGGAATATTCTCGTCACTTTGGGGGAAGACATTGATACACCATTGGTCTTTTCTTCGGGGTTTTCTTGGTTCTGTAATGATGGGGGAAGATTCATGCCCGAGATGTCGGCTTTCATGCAAGAAACGTCCCGGCTGCGGGTTTGGGAAGATGAAAATGCAATATCATGCAGCAATGGCATCTAAGGATTGTAGGCTGGGTTCCCAACTTTGACCGATTCCCTGTAGAATTCACAAGTCCACGTGGACTCTGTTCAACAATTTCACACGCATAATGTAGACGTGCTGCTCGTGATTGTATTGATGTCGGTAGATGAGAGGTTACATTGCATATTCGTCGTTTTGAGGGTTGCGTTTGTCTTACCCCTAGAAACACGCAGTCCCTTTGATACCAAAGCCGTCGACGAAGGGAACGATACACGTCAATGATGACAGCCTCTTAGGGCTGGAGGAAGGAGGGGGTGACAGGAACAAGGACAAGGACCTCGGTCGATTTTCTGCTTCGGGACTTTGCGAGATTTCGAGGCAGATTGCGGGAGGGATTTGGATCCAGTACTGGGTACGGATACAGACATGGGTTAAATGGAGGGTTCTAAGATTTGGTCAGCAAAGACCAAAAACTACAGCCTTTTTTTTTTCTCTCATCCTCTGCGTTATCCGTTGTCTGTGTGTTTTGAGTGATCTCCAGCAACTGCAGGGGGGCGAAGGCAAGAAATAGTTGCAATGTGTTACTAATCCTAGGGTTACAATAGAAATAGCACAATTCTCGACTCTCTCTCAGTCTAGTCCTTCCCCTTCTTGTGCGGCGTGCCGTCTCCTCGCCTGTTGATCTCGCCCCTTCCTCGCCCCTGTTCAGCTCCGTTGTTTCATAGGAACCAGAAACCACGAGCCCGGGGAACGAGAGTTCCGGCAACATGTTCCGGCCTGGGGAAAGGGCTGGGGTTGTTGGAGTGGCTGGTTTGCTGTTCCGAGAGGGCCCTGTTTGCTCTTTTGCTTCAGGTGAGGAGTACTTTCGGGTCGTACAGGTTTCGAGTTCACTGCTTATTTCTCTTCGCTTTTCTTTGTATCTTGCCTTTTGACTCTTTTCGCGCCTGTGAAATCTCATTGAGCGCCTACCATGCGTGCGTGCGTGTGGATGTGGGTGTGTGTAAATCCCCGGCGTAAGGTAGTTAGCCAGCATGGGACTGGCTTACTCGAGGTGATTTGAGTGTTTTTGTGTTCGGCGCCTATGTGCCATCAATTTGGTTACTGCAAATCATGATTGCCATTGTCTATCGCGAAGTCCGGAATGGCATTCCTGAGATGCCGCGGCGCTTGGGAAGGGATGGCGCAAAACCTCTTGTACAGCAATCTTCAAGCAAGGGCTCTGCCAAGTTCATAGCCTTCAGGAAGAGCACATTACACAGTGTAGATATTGAGGCCCCTTGATGCTAGGTGCAGAATATGTTGGTGTGTCGGCGAAGGATAGGCTTGAGTGATGCCAGGATGTAAGTCTATCTTTCCCGATTGGCAGTTCTATGTCGATGACAGGCCCTATAGGGAAAAGGCCATGACGGCAAAAGAAGAGCTTTTGATGATTATAGGCGAAGTAGACCAAGTGGTGTTCCTCCGCGAACAATTTGCCTATAGTGCTGATCGGTGTTGGTAACAATTGTGATAAATGAAACATAAAGATTTTTTTGCTCTTCTTATATTGCTCAATCGCTTGCCAATGGAACTCCAGCAAGTCATCCTTAAATGTATCTTGGCATCTAATGTCTTTAATATACGTTCGTTTCAATGTATCGAGCACCAAAAAAAAGGTCCCTTGGCCTATCGTATGAAAGTTTCAATGATACCTTCCATTGTTACTACGTCGAGAGTTGTCACAGTCTGACTGAGACGAGTTGGGAAAGAAAGCTGCACCGCCACTTGACAGTCGCTCAGGGTACGCACTAGCCACAGTCAAATGACCTCAAAACCACATCCTTTTCTTCGGCTAAGACATGGGATTCTCAGAGACAGGAAAGACGGCGAAAAAGGTGAAACATTCGGAAGACATGCGGGCCTCACACACAACCAAGGTCGAAATTGAAGCTTTCTTCCCTCCGCCGAGCCATGGCTGGATACTTGCGCAGTCTTTTGTGAAATTCGTGACGAGGCGTCGTGGTCGTGGTACGTGGCGAACCTGTTCGGCCTATTTCTTGTGCCGCAAGCGGGCCAAAGTCACTTGAGCCTTCCACATTGGACGACTTTGACATTTAGGTTGGTACCTTGCTTCAGCCTGTGCGAGGGAGGATGAGTGGGTAGTTCACCTCTAGACTTTGCGCCTGGAGCGGCAGCCTGGAAGATGTGTCTGCAACAAGTAGGAAGCGATCCATAGGTTTTGATGATATTGAGTGAATTTGTCCGGCGGGGGAAGAATGAAGAAGTCCGGCCCAAGTGTAGCCCAAATGGAACCCGACCCAAGTTGAAAAGGAAGCTAAGAGGTGATGGGAGTGAGCGGATCTTCCTCCGTCGAGATGCCAATCGAGGCCCGTAGGGGGGTTGGAGCTAAGGCTGTTGGCACCAACAGCGGTTTTAGGCGGGGTGATGGTGGGCTAGTGGATAAGGAACCCCACCATGGCAGGTCGCAGCGGTAAGGTACGTGGTGCGTGGTGCAAGTTGCAGCTGGCACCGATTTCCCCCGGTTTGTTATCGATAAGAGGTACAATGATGCGGATCTGCTTGTGACGAGCTGCAATCAAAGTATCAAAGTGGGCGGGGGTGCAGTTGCCAGTGACATTCCATTTGAACGCGAGCTACCTATTCAGGCCCCGGAGCGAGTGACGCATACTCGGTTTACAAATGCCAGATGTGGCCCCTTCAAGGTGAAATGAACGCCATATGTTACGCCTTTACTCGGTCGCAAAATGGACCCCGCCCCCACCTCCATAGAGCACATGAGATTTGTCTGGCCGACGGCTGTTAAGATGATATGGCTGCCAGGTAGGTACTTTGCACGAGTTAAGCCACGTTCCATACCTCAGGTAGGGAGGGGATTGTGCACTTATCTCAGCTTTGATGCTTGGCAGTTCTTGCCATTTCGACTTGGTGCCACCTGCCCGCTCCAAAACTGCGGACGGTGAGGCAGGATATGAGGTCCGGTAAAGGAAGGAAGGAAGGAAGGTTATCTAGGTAGGTACCTTCCTGGACCGCCGCCTGGTCATGTTTCGACTGCCGTCCCGTTGCCTTTTCGGCTGCCTTTCTGCCTTCCATTTGATGGTGCGCCCGACCTGAATGCCTCTCTTTCTCTCCGCACCATCCACCACCCTTGAAGGTGCATCCATCCATCCCAATACAAACTGCCATATTCCTCCACCACATCTCTCCCTCCTTCACTTCCCATCGTCTTCTATTCTGTCTTCTTCGCAGGGCACTCAACTCCCCTTCCTGAACAACCAATTTCGGAACGAAACCACCAAATCCAAACCCCGGCCCGCAGACGCTTTGACGGCTAGGACCAAACGTGAGCAACGCCATCTGGTTAGTACCTACCTTACCTTACTGTACCTTGTTCCTTATCTTTGTCGCAACTTCTCGATAGCGGCAGCCGCGTGACATCCCCAAGTCATAAGGTAGTCACCTCCGATAAACCGACCACCTTCTCGTCCCATCTCATCCTATCCCTTCCGGTCCCTTGCTATTTCCCCACCCCGCGTTGGCCATTTCGTTCCGCAAGACAACACCAGCTGGCAAGCACGCAGCGGCGAGCACCTTCTCGGTAAGCTGGGCAAGGCAGGCCAGGCCAGGCCAGGCAGACAGGTACACCGTACAGGCAACACCTGCCGCCGACCGACCTTGACGACGCACCCTACCTTTACCTGCGCACCGTACCCATCCACCTTACTTCACCTCCCGTCACCACCTCACAATCCTCCTGCACATCCCAAAGGCCCGACCAGAGTTAGTTGAATTTCCTTTTCTCTCTCTACATCCCCGAATCGTCTTTGCTACCTGGATATTCAACTCCTTGAATCAGGTCGTTTGTCCCGAAGAAAAAGCAACCCCTCCACGCCCCTCAACCGCCGTCCGTTGTGTCAGCTCACGAGCGTGACCTGTGTTCCATATCCCGCTTTACCCCTCCATCCTCCCACCACCGCCACAACCACTACAACCACTCCGTTCATTCCTTCCACCACATACAGCCGCCGACTGTCGAGCATATCCCATTTCTTCCAGCTTCCAGACTTTCCGAGGCATGACGGGATAACACAAAAGGCTAACCCTTGTTATCTCGGTATGGAAGAGCAGCACAGCGCCGATTCTACCACGGACGTCGACACATCTACCCACAGCCCGGCAGCATCGACAACCTTGTCATCTTCCGAGCTGACATTGAGGTTCCCCCGACCACAAGGAAACCGACAACTGGCCAGCTGGATTTCCTCCAGCGAACCCGACATCATGACTCCCTCAGAAGCACCCGAAGATGTCGCGGCACTGTCCGAGAGCACATATGAATTCATCAACACAGACGACGAGAGCCAGGACGGCCGTGGCACCGAGGCCGAGTCTTTAAGCTCCTTCGACTATGCCCGCCCCGACGACGTTCATAGTCTCGCTGGTACCGAGCAGACAGAGGACATGACCAACCAGTCCGACACGGACTCGGAAGACTCAGAGGACGCCGCGCAAGACAGGTCTCGAGCTTCATCGATTCAATACGCTGAGCAGAGCCTCCTCAACCCGTCTTCCCGCGTCGCGACGCCGCCCTTGGGCGTCGACGGCTCCATGGACATCAGTCAGCATACCCCGCTGGTCCAGTCCATCGAATTCGACGAGACGCAAGACCCAGTCTACTTCAAGCAGGTGTCAGTCAAACACACCATTCACACCTTTACCGAGGAGCAGTCGACCTCCATCGCCAAGACCCTCAATTTCCCAGACCAGAGCAAGCGTCTCATCGCAGCAGTCCGTCAAACAATGGCGTCACACTGTCTGGCGACGAAGGAACCTCTCCGAATCATGTACACAGGCAGCCATGCAGCTAGGCATGATATCATATACAAGATTTCCTCAGCCTTCACAGCATCTACGTCCGCGGATGGATGTGGCATCAGCGAAGACGCTGGCATTTACAACGTTGTGCCTATATCGTCTCTTGGATCTCCTAAGGTCCCCGAAGTCGAGTTGATGAAGACTTCACAGTACCAAATCAAGGTCGAGAATTGCACGGCTGCCAAAGAGGTTGTCTACCAAGGTGAACGTTTCCTGGGCGATACTGTCTATCATATCACGGTGGACGGCGATCGGACTTACCAGTCTGCTTTTGCTCCCAGTGGGTCTATCATCGAGCCTTCGTGGACGTTGCCTCATGTCGCCATCTTCTACGTTACAGAGAATGACGATGAGGCTGCTACAAGTACCCGGAATGCTGCATGGAACTTCGTGCAAAGGCACGCTGTGCCTAGCATTTTCATCTCCAACGATGAGGTTTACCATCAACCAACTACAACATGGGACGAGATGATCAATCAGCACGCTATCCACATCTGCGTGGAGTCTTCTGACCGGGCCATGCCTTCTACCAAGCTCCCAATCGACCTGACCTCATTCCTCAATATCGATGCTCGCCAGATGAATCGAAACCTGGCCTATCTTACCGGCCTATACGATCACGCAGACTGGAGGAAGAGCAAGTGCAACTCTAACACCATGGGCAAGACTGTTCGTCATGCTTGGCGCCGCGTTGTCGAGACCATGGAAGATATCGACCTTTGGTCCGTGGGCCAGACCACGTTTCTTGTCTTCAGCGTCATCGCCACAGCACTGCTCTCCAACTATTTCTTGGCAGGAGTTTCAAACACACCACCACTTTCCACAGTCTCTTCTACCACAGCTAGTACACTGTCACCCTTGACCTCGACGGTACTGTCGACTTCGACTTCGACGATCAACCTATCCACCACAACGATTCGGGTGGCTCAAAAAGCGTCGGCCACTAGCAACACGGCTGTTGCACCGTTCGCAGAGCTTGCCGACTTCATTGCAGACAAATTTCCTGACAAAGCCTACGTGTGCTCGGCGGAGAAGGTCAGCCGCAATGAGATTCTGATCAAAATCCCCTCCGGCACGAAAACATCATGGCTTGCCAAAGATTCAATTACTATCGATGTCCTCAAGGGCGAGAGGTCTATTAAGACCAGATTCTCTTCGACCGACGAGGGAATCTTGATCGAAATCCCAAAGTCGGAAGCGCATGGCATTCTCACTATTGCAGTCAATACAACCCGAAAGCCTAAGGTTAATGAGACCTTTGTGGTCGACCTTGGAAAGACCGTCCTCGAGCGTTACCTTGGATATGGCAAGGCGGTGGCTTCCCACGTCCTTGATACAGCAAATAGTGTCGCACATCAGGCAGAGGAGCGAGCCTTCGACCTCTCAAGCTTCAACATCCTGAGCTTGGACTCCATCGTAGCGGATGCTAGAGGATTGTCTACACGAATTACCGCGAGGGCCGCGAACGCTGCGAATGCCATCGTCAAGGGATCTGTAGAGCTGTCTGAGAACCTGCAGAGCCTGAGAAATCCGCAACGATTACAGGAGTTTAGAGACCGAGCGAACATTGTGTTCACGAAGGCCCAGCTCCAATCTCGGCTCCTGGCGTTGAAGGTCTTGCAAAAGACGGAAGAGCACAAGGTCTACTTGGACAAGGCCAAGAAGCACATGGAAAAGCTGCGGTTGACAGCGACGGAGGCCCACAACCAACGGCTGGATAAGGAGAAGAAGGAGATGCGGGCTCGTCGGAAGAGAGAGCGCCTGGCGGCTAGATGCCAAACAGGCTACGGCTTCTCTAGATGGACGCAGCAGTGCAGACAGCAAGGATGAGTCTGATTTTACACGCAAGTATGGAGATACCTTGGAGGCCGGTTAGGGACAAGGACAGGAAGGAACTGGAGTTATCGGTATGGGTTTTGTAATGGCTGTCTCATCTCTTTTGCTTCATTCGCCCTTCAATGTTTAGTTATTCGCATCGCTCTGCCCACTCTTCCCATATGTTGTTCGCAGTTGCGACGGCGAAGTGAGGCAGGTCAGGGTAAGCTCCGCCGAGTTCCCGAGTTTTTAGTCGCTTTGAGGTGGCCACAGTTTTTATGAATGGACGGACAGAAATGATAGATTACGAGCAGGCTTCTGCAATGATTTTCCGAGTGGTCTCGTAAGACCTCCTACCTTACGTCTAATAGCTGTGCCAGGAGATGCCGTGCGCTTGTTGTGACCGTCATCCAAACTTGGTCCCAAGTTGAATAGTTTCTGGAAAAGTTTCTTCCTGCTTGCCTGACTGATAGAAGCACGATCGTCTGAGAGCTTGCAACAGGGGATTAATATGGTTAATCCAGCGCGATCATAGTTCGAGCTTGCGAGCAATCAAGTACTTGTTAATCATCTAGTAAAATTGTTCAGTTCAATAGTGCGGATAGGGCCGGGCGATGACCAAGATAGCGTCGAATTCCTCATCCCCTAATCAAGGACTCCCGGTCCCCAGTGGCAAAGGCAGCAGGCTTGGTGATTGGCTGCGCGAATCCAGCTTGGGCTTTGGCTTACGCAGTAGGTGCATCCCCACAGAGCCAGGAGCAGCGACAGCATGTACAATGCAATATGATTTGGGTGGAAGGGTACTTGCAGATGGTAGGATGACCACTGCCTGGGCACCTAACAGCAAGGGCCAGGCCCGCCCGACACCCCTCCTGCCCGCTTGTTGTTGACTTTTGAATGAGGGGCTGTTTCCTCATTTTGTCCAACCCACTCCCAACTTCATCTCGAGCGAAGAAACATAATCATCTTTTGCTTCCCACTCTCCGATCCTCCCCTTACTGCAGAACATACCGCTGCTAGCCCTGGTAAGTCTTATTCTTCCTGAGTCTTGCTCCCCGCAGTCCGCTTGCTGCCGGCTTTGATGACGAGCATGTCGTTGCGCCCATCCGCTCGATGAGGGGCAGATTTGGTCGTAATGCAAAGTCCACGAGCTAACGTTTTTTCTCCTCGTTCCCACCCGCAGATCTCAACATCGTCATACTTCACCCCAAAACCACTACTTCGCAAAATCCATCAATATGTCTTCTGCCGAAGCTACCGAGCCCAAGGTCGAGGAGACCAAGCCCGCCGAGGTACGACCACCCCTTTGTCGCACGCACACTCTCCCCCCCGCTCTCGTCCCGTACGAACATACTTCAAAGCTCACCGCATCTTCCGGGTTCTTCGTGACGGGCGGGAGGGATGCGCACTCTCTGCTCGCTCGCATCGCGATTCAATTCTCTATATTGCTACGTTCGGATGGCTGACAGTACCGTCCACAGACCACCGGCGAGGCTGAGAAGCCTGTGACCTCCTCTTCCGTTTTCTCCATGTTCGGAGGTGGCGCCAAGAAGGAGAAGAAGGAAGACGAAGACCGCGGTGACAACTCTGGCAGCGCCAAGGCCCAGCGCGATGCCGCAAAGAAGGACGGCGAGGTACGTCATATCACACGCTCTATTTCGATGCAGGGGTAAGATGCATGTTCGATCTCGTGCTAATGTTAAAAAATTAGGAGGATGAAGCCCCCGAGTCCGAAGATGTTCACTTCGAGCCCGTCATCAAGCTGACGGAGAAGGTCGACGTCACCACCAACGAGGAGGCCGAGGAGCAGCTTTTCAAGATGCGCGCCAAGCTTTTCAAGTTTGTCAAGGAGACCACTGAGTGGAAGGAGCGCGGCACTGGTGATGTCCGTTTGCTCAAGCACAAGGAGAACGGCAAGACCCGTCTCGTCATGCGCCGTGACAAGACCCTCAAGGTCTGCGCCAACCACTACAGTACGTTGCGTTAGACTCCGACGCGCCACCAATATTCTAACAATGATTAGTCGTTCCCGAGATGAAGCTGTCCCCCAACGTCGGTTCCGACCGCAGCTGGGTGTGGAACGCTGCCGCCGATGTTAGCGAGGGTGAGGCTGAGGCCGTTACCCTGGCCATCCGCTTCGCCAACTCTGAGAGTAAGTCCAAGGCCGGTATTGAAAATAGTCGCATGGCCCAGTGAGCTAACGAGGATACAGACGCAAACCTCTTCAAGGACTCTTTCCTGAAGGCCCAGAAGGACAACGAGGAGCTTTTCAAGGCCGCTGAGAGCGAGGCCACCGCCACCCCCGCTGTCGAAGAGTCTTAAATTTACCACAACCTTCCGACCCCGTGAGAAGACGAGGATGAAGGCCCAGCACGCCGGGCTGTCATCAAAACGGCCCTGCCCCCCTGCAACAACACCGAAACTAGCACCATTGTCAAACTTGTTTTTACACCCCCCGATACGAGGCAGGCTGGATCACTTCGGTGAGGAGAAGCTGAAGAGTGCAAGAAAGACTTGCACCGAGTGGTGTTTGTTTTGAGCATTGATACGCGGATGGATAGCATCAAGGCTTAGGAGCAAGACACTCTACACAGCAAAAATTAACAAGAATAAAGTCCCTTCTATATTGATTAGATGTTCCAGGAGGAGAGATAGACGCGCGGATGAATCATACCCCCTCACTCGAAAGCCGTCTGTTTTTATGTGAATCTATTGCAAATGCGTATATAAATTTGATGAGCGCCATCGCCATGACCACCCCAACAGACGAAATTCTGCTGATAAAGTAGCCCTCCTTAAGGCTTTGTCTGCCACATTGATAATCCGAGCAAACAAAAAGCATGTGTAGGGGCAGGAGGGACAACCATTCAATTAAAGTCCTTGCTTCCTTCCCCGCAACACGCAACACGCTTGCACGCGGCAAGCTTTCCAGCCACACCCTGGGTATCTGCATGGCCCGAGCGTCACCCTCAGCCTTCCAGTCCCAAACCTCCAAATCCCAACTGGTGAACTTCACACTTGCTCAGTGCACATCCAAACCTCCCCCCTCTCCGAACTCGACACACTGCTTGACCCCTGTTCTGCGTTACTATAGCAGCTCATCATGATTGTCGAGGTAAGATACTGCGATTAACCCTTCCTCTCCCACCAGCGCGCTTCGTCGCGTCGATTTGCGACATCACCACCAGCCCGCTCTGCCCAAACACCATGCTCGTCGACAATTTGCGCTGCCGGCTAGCCAAAGATGATTGCTTCCTAGGCAGCCTGGACGATGAATAATGCGTATTCTTCACTCAGTCGATCTGTCATCTTGGCATACCATCCCCTTGTTCTTCTTCCTCTTCCTCCTCCCCAACTTCAATGGGGATCTGGCTACACCGTAGTCCATCAACGTTACCACCACCATGGCTCCTTCCCGAAATACCATGGCCCGTCGCTCCAATGCTAACATTGAGATCAAGAGGAAAGTAAGGCTCGTCACCGAGCAAAATGTCATGTAAGTTCACTTTGCAAACACCCCTTCTACCACAGCGGCAGCGCCTAACCTTCATCTCCTCATCTCTAGCGACAAGCCGTCCCCCGTCGAGGATTTCCCCATGCGGAAATGGTCGATCAACGTCTATATCATCGGCGAGGATGGTGAGGAGCACCCGGCCGACTGCTTCCTCAAGGTCGTCTACAACCTCCACCCTTCCTTCGACAACCCGACCCAAAGTTCGTATACTCTGCCTATGATTGCCAACTTGCCTGTCGCAGATTGCTGACCGCAGGCACTTTTAGCCTTCAACAAGCCTCCTTTCCGTTGCGAAAACGAGGGATGGGGTGAATTCGATATGACGATCGATTGCTACATTACCGAAAAGTCGAAGCAGTCTCTCAGCCACGACCTCAACTTCGCTAAGAACCGCTACGAGGCCGAGCATACCGTTTCCTTCAAGAACCCCTCGCAGGCCCTGCAGCAAATCCTGCGTGAAACCGGTCCCTTGCCATCAGACGATGACCGCCTCAAGAAGAAGGGCGGTGCTGGTAAGAAGGGTGCCCAGAAGTACGACTACGAAAAGATTGCACAGGCGCTTGAGAAGCTGGATGAGGATGACCTGCTCCGTGTCATTCAGATCATCAATGATAACAAGACAGCGGAGACATACATCAAGAGTGATGTCGATGGTGAGCTTGCGCCTGCTTCCCCTGGTGTCGATCTCTTGGCCGGTCAGTTTTCCTTGTGTTGGGGGATGCATGGGATCGACATTGGTAATCACAAACACTGAGTTGCGCTTGAGCTAACAGCTTTCTCTAGCGGGAGAGTTTTCCATTGATCTGTATACGATGTCGGATCAGATGACCAAGCTCCTGTGGGACTACTTGGTGAGTCAAAAATACGTTCGGGTCTAGGTGTCGCAGGTCCTTGGGTCGAGTACCTTTGAACCACAAGCACTGGCCTTTGCGCGCAACATTCATGGGACTGCATGAGCATTGGAAGTGGACTGGGCTGGATATATATGACCGGCCGCTGACCTCACAAAAGAGCAAGAAGGGCCTTGTCAGTTAGGTTACCTACCAACCGCTCGCGGAAGATCACCTATTCCTGCACCACTCCCGACGCCAGCTTTCCCCGCGACCGAATCGAACCCGATCGGGCAGACGAATCGACATGAGGAATTCTCTTGTGAGGGGCAGCGCGGGGGATGGGGTGGGCTCAAGGCTGTCTGCTTCGCTTTACCAATGGCATCTGGCTAGGCGTTACCGGCTTCCTGCTTTTCCTTGGCTTTAATTACGGATTTTCTTTTTCCGGTCTACCCCTCGTCTTTCTGTGGTATTATGTGCTTGTGCGTATTATGTCTATTTTTTGCGTATGCTACCTGAATAAAAAGCACTCGCGGGGAAGGGAAATGGGACATCCTGCGTGCATGTGAAAGGGAATTATGCGTTTCTGGAGGAATCGTAGGCGGGTTGGACAGGAATGAAGCTACGAAACGACACTGGACGAGAGTGGCTAGATGGGAAGAGAGAGGCTAGAGTTTTTTCGTTGCGAGGTCATACCGGCTCTGTGTATCCTCGTTGTAATCATATTGTTTCACTGTGCTGTTTACCATGTTGACGTTGACGTGGGCATGTGCGACCTTGTATCAACCATGATATTTACAAGTTGCCGACAAGACGTGCTATTAGTGGAATGGAATCTCACACATCCCGAAGAGCAATATCAGGCCAGACTTCATATGAATCGTATTTTTGGTATTTCGGTATAACTACCTACCCACAGTACAAATCAGAGAGACATCGTTATATGAGCAACCGATTTGAAGATGGCATGGTATCAAAAAGGGTATATCTGAACCATATTTTCATAAGCCGCAACGATTTCGTTGAAAGGGTGATCCAGGTGCAATGAACAATAAATAGCCTCGCCTTCAGATTTCATGAGTGTTGCTTGCGTAATCGCGTGATCTTGACCCCTTCCCTGGGTCGTGTGTGATTGGTAAGAAATGAGAAAATCAAGAACAAAATCGCTACAGTGGCCAGCCGGTCCATTATCTTTCTTTTGAGGCAGTTTCGTCGCCCCTTTTTCCTCATTTTGTAGTTTTTCCCGCCCCGTTGCTCCCAATTTTGTGTATAAATGACAGACACGCCTTGCGGGTGCCGTTTGGTCTTTTGTCTTCTTTAGAACCCCTTTTTCGTTTTTGAAAGTGTGCTTCTTTATTGAATTTCTCTTCATTCAGTTTTGCCCTGCCTGGTTCAGGGGAACGATGAAGGACCATCGAGGACGGGGAAGCCAGTGTCCATGGCCATGTACTCGAGGAGGTCGAGACCGCCGACGTTGACGCCCTCGGCCGTCATGGCGACGGCCGTGTTGTCCATGTTTTGGAAAAATGCCGGCCCGGGCGGCAGGTACCACATCTCGTTGCCTGGGTTGTTCCAGTCAGTCGAGTCAAACAGGCCTTCCATGCCTCCTGTTGTAGATGACGGTGCGTTGTTGGTGGCGTTTGTGGCTCCACCGTTCTCGGGCGCCGGTGCCGGCGTGGACGGGCCTAGGACCGAGGCCGAGCCTGAGGGATAGGGAAAGGTACCAGTGCTGAGGTCGAAGGGTGTTGCCGAAATGTTGGCGGGGTCGTCTAATTCCCATTGTTAGTTTTGGTGTTACGGTAGGTGGTGGATTACCAAGGTGAAGCTTACCATGTGCGTTGAGCCCATCACGTAATTTCGAGGCGTGGTTCGCCCATGATTGACCCTCGGGACCGCCGATCGGCTGGCCATTGGCAGCGGCGCCGTTGGTCATGCCGTGGGGATCCGGACTCCTTCCATCCGCAGAACCGAGTCCTAAAGCAGGAGCCTGAATGAAACGGTTGCGGAGCCGGCTTGTCAGGGAGTCGAGAAGATCTGCAAATCGAATTCCCAGGTGAACGTCATCAACGATGCAATTACGGAGTGCCTTGACAGTCTCGTCCATCAAATCAATGCTGAGCTTGACGTCTGATCGTGGGGCACCGAGAGCAAAGGTCTTGAGGAGGAACATCGCACCGCTGATGATGCGGAAGTATGTCCGCACGGGGGCATGCTTGAGATAGTCGCCCGGCAGAAGACCCTCAACAACCGTCCGGAGCAAGTTGCGGCAGCCGCTGATGACCTCTTTTATGTACTCCTGATCACTGGCGCCGAAGCCACCCAGCTGTCCCAGAGGCAACTTACCAAAGTAATTTTGCGTCTGAGGAGACAGCTGTGCCGCGCTTCCGGCGTTATGGTTGCCATGGGTGCCGTGTCCCGCATGCGCCGTGTGACCAGCGTTATTGGTACACCGTTCAACGACAGCTTGCAGAGAAAGTGAGTTGACGTAGATGCGAACATACTCGTACTCGATGGTGAGAATGTGTCTGATATAAGGGGGTAACCTAAAGCGTTCAAATTCTTTCCACCAATCCTGGAGCAGCGGGTGGAAGTCTTTGAGCATCTCAGTGTACTTCCCACTCTGGATGATATCGGTGGTGTGCTTGCGGGACTTGAAAAACTTTTCGTTGCCAATGTGCATCGCATTGCTTATACCAGCCCAGCAGTGTATTATTTGGTCATCGAGCTCTAGGTCCGGGATGTAGTTGAAGGCATTTGACATGGACGACGGGTTGGTGCCAGGCGTTGTGCCCTCTGTGGATGTTGGGCGGCGACGGGTGACCGCTGGATCGCTCTTGCGCAAGGCCTCGGGTACCATGCTTGTCCAACCAAGACGACCGGCGAGCTGGGACAGATAGATTAACAGAAGGCGCTTGATGCGGTACGCCCGTTGACGGTACACCTCTTCCTCGTACTCGGGACGGGAGATGGCACCGTCG